CGTGCGGCCAGAGGTGCTTTTGGCACCGTGAGTCTCTTTCCCCCTCCCTCGTCCACACACCATAGGTGGTGCTTAGCCCCTGGTTCCCTGCCGGGTTAAGTAGTTGGGATTAGTCGTCTGCTGTTGCACAGCATGATCATCCCCAGCCAGCCTGCTTGCCAGCCCTGCACGGAGCCAGCTAGCCTCCGCTGGCCAGGGGTGAGGGAGACGGAGTCTGTAGCCGAGGGGGTCTCTGCCTTTCCCCTCCCTCGTCCACACACCATAGGTGGTGCTTAGCCCCTGGTTCCCTGCCGGGTTAAGTAGTTGGGATTAGTCGTCTGCTGTTGCACAGCATGATCATCCCCAGCCAGCCTGCTTGCCAGCCCTGCACGGAGCCAGCTAGCCTCCGCTGGCCAGGGGTGAGGGAGACGGAGTCTGTAGCCGAGGGGGTCTCTGCCTTTGCAGTTACACCCGCAAACTCCTCTTCCCCTGCCTTCCGCAGCTTTGTCTCGTAAGCGACTCCCCAGTCCGGGCTAGTTGAGAGCAGGCAAAGAGGCAGACTCCCCCACCCGCCGTTTCGCTGTTCTCATTTATTAATGGCTAGATGGTCTGTGTATATCGATTCTGGACAAAGATGAAGACATCTGTGCAGCGCCTCTGAAATAGAGGGAGGACCAGTCAGGCTGCTTTCAGCAGCCTGCGGGCGGGCGTTTGTATGAGCACGGTGGTGTCGTGCTTGTCCCAGTTAGTAGCGGGAAGTGCCTCTAACGGTGGTGCTTGTATGACACTATCATCTTCAGCCCAAATGGTTATTATATGTATGTCACCTTTGGATGTTATACCACGTGAGTTTATGAAGAGGCCTTAATACTGGAGGATGATTGCTGCCTGTAGCAGAAGGGACTGCTTTTCATTCTGGAGTTGGAGGTGATGTGGGGCATTCAGAAGATGGTGACTGAAAATATTGTCACTCATATCTGAGCAATTTTATTTTCCCTACTGATTTGGAAGCCTGATAGGATTTCAGGAAGAAGCTTGTCTGGAAACCTAGCTGCTAAAGCTTGTTCCCATGACCTTGGGAGGCATTTCATTTATCACAGTTTTCCCTAGCAATGTAAGTGATTATTAAAATAACTAGCAGTGTCTTCTTTAATTTGACAAAACTAGGACATTTGAGGCTAAGAAATGTCCCTGATGTCTGTTTGACTAGCTATTAATGTAAGGTCTCTGAATAGTTGCCAGTTTTAATATGCTCTACACAGCCATCGTGAGTGTGAATTTAAGGACAGTGTTCTAAACTCAACATAAATTGTTACAGCGTAATAAGTTTCAGTGTTCAGTCTTGTTTCATTTTTTGTAAACTTTAAGAAAGGTGAAAGATCTACAGTAACAATTGCTGGAAGTATTTTAGGTTGACTTAACCCTCCCTCCCCAACAAAACAGACAAAAGAACCAACCCTAAAAATGAGTTGTGTGGTGCCTTCAGTATAAAACTAAACTTTGGGTAATTTTTTTCAAAAGCTACTTATCGAACTCAAAAGCTTATCTTGTAAACAAAGCATTAAGTGAACCTGGATTGCTTTAATTATATTCAAAGATCTTGCCCTTTAGCTTAAGGGAAGGGGTAACTAGTAGCTGGGCCCAAAAATGTGTTCTGGTAGACTCTTCAAGTCTCTCAGCAAAATTATAAAGCATATTTTGGGAGTGAAATCCAAATAAGATTGACCATTTCAAAATTAATATCTCATTTTAAACAGAATACTTGTACTCACACATGAAATGCAGCAGTGTGTGTGGGGGGAGCTTATCTTAAAACACAGTATCTTTCAGTTAATGTTTGCAGGTTCTGTAGTTGAGAGTTTAAAAAATGTAAATGACCATAATAGTTTTATTTGCAATTTTTTTCTGTTGCATTTAGAAAGTTACTGTCATCTTAGTGCTATCTTATAGCTAGTTCTGCACAACTTATCACTATTTAGAAAGTTTTTCAGAAACTTGTTCACATTTTGTATTTATGATATTTGGAATAAGTGATAAACTTTTTGTATATCCTTAAACCATTGTGACAGTCTCGGCAGAAATGGCTTCCATCATACTAAACCTTAATACTTGTGGCATAATGAATGGAAACTTTTTTAGTGCATAAGTAGAGGTATTCACTGAATAGTAGAGCACAAAAATAGCTTTTTAAAAACAATCCCTGCCTTTAATACTGTATGTGAAAGTGTAGACTTTGAGCCAGCACTGTGGGGTGCTTACTCGTTTCCCTTTACTTGTAGAGGGCTACTGTGATGGTAGTTGGGGCTTTTCACATGAGTAAAATTTCCAGTTGTGCTCAAGTAGTAGGGGACTAATATGGCCAAACCACCACTAATGTGAGGAAAAACACCTTTCCCCCCTATGCAGTATGCCATTGTATCCCAGTTCTTAACAGCAACACCTTACTATTCTAGTTAAATTCCTATTGAGCAGACCGTCAAATATGCTGCTTTTGTTGTGAATAATTGAGACTACAAACTGATCTTCACTTTTGATGCAAGTGAGCTATAATTTATAGGAAATTGTGCTCTACCTGATTATTACTATTTTTCTGAGTATTACCATGATCTTCATCGGTTACCTAAAATGTGCTTAGAAATTTAAAGTGGAGTCTTATCTAGTGTCACTATCTCTTAATTCATAGGCAATATAGGTAGAACCGGTCAGCTGTTACATTTGGGGATTTCAGTTGTTGCATTATGGTTTAATAGGTTTTTTTGGCTGAACTTTGGAAAAATGCTGTAAGACCCCGCTAAGGTAAATTTGTAAGTTCATTATGTTTAGAGTTGTGTTGCATTTGAAGCTCTTCCTATTGTAAACGTACACAACACATGTACAATTTGGCTAGACAAAAAGGCAGAGAGAACCTACCAGTATTCAAAAGATGGGAATGATAAGGAAGGAGAAGAAATTGAGGTGAGTCTGTAATATGATCTAGAGAACTGAGATAAGAGTGAAGGAAAAGCTTTAAAATTAGCACAAAGCCCACCCCATATAATTAAGGAACTACAGGACTTGGGAGCAGTATACCTAAGGGATGTGCTAGAAATTACACTGCTTGGATTGGGTAAAACAGTCAAGTATTTCCTATGGCATAGTCTTCTGTGTTGGGGCATAGATGTACAAGATAATCTGTAGTCTTCTCAAGATCAGAATTTTCTCATTAACAAATGCTTAATGCTATTAATACTTACTCTATTAGACAACTGAAATGTCACTGACTTCAGTATATTAAACTTCAGATATTTGGGGGTGCAAATTTTTGGTGAATATTAATCTCAATAAAAACATGCAACAAACAAGAAGTGATACCTACATTGTTCAAAAATGTATAGTATTACAGTAAACCAGCATTAAAATGCTTACCCACTAATTTAGTAAACTTACAAAAGTGAGCTAAGAAATTCTCAATCTTGTTTCATATAATGAATATTTCTAAATAGATTTTTCAGGGAATACATTATTGTACTTTACTGTTTTTCCTTAAAATGATGAAATGTAAAAAGGATGCATATTCTTAAATGTATTTTATTTTGTTAACTGAAACAGGTTCCAGCTCAAAGTAAATTAACAGAGGAGGGTAAGCAGACTGTTTGTCTCTAGGATTATAAATGCCAAACGATATGACAAGAGAATTTCTCATGTGCTAACTGAAGAGATTGGCAACAAATTTGCTCCAAAAAAGAGATCCAGTACCGTATTAAATTAAAATTTTATAACAGCTGGGCTCTACTAATCTTAAGAACTTGCTTCTATAAATCCATTGTAAAAGAAGCAGATGGATAAATTAAACTGTTGAATTAACATCCCATAACCAAACATCTTTCTATCCTTGTGTGTGTTTTTAAATCA